TTCATGTTGTCGACAAAGTGAGCAAAAGGCTCAAGGACTTGCAACTATTTTTAACTACCTGAAATTCATGACGTCTGAGCTCAAAATGTTGTAGGAAGTTTAAGACAATTAAAGCGTTAGCATTTTGCACAATTAACGCGCAAGGATGGCATTTGGCGCAATTAACGAGTAAGCTCCAATGAAGTTTTTCAGAAAGCAATTGAAACCGAAATGACGCAAGCTAGTCTGTCTGATTATTAAGTCCCTAGACGGTAAACGTATCATTCTGAGTTTTACATAGCATGAGACGAAAAATTTTCAGAAAGTATTTGCAGTCTTTTGAAAGGCTCAACATTTTTTATAAATCAAAAAGTTTATTTTTGCAATCATTGGTACTCGCAAGTTAACGACTGAGCTGTTGCTTAGCACGTTTTTTAGCGGTGCCCGTGCAATAATGACCGTTGGTCTTGATTCAACTGACTTGCAAGCGTTAATGCCTAACCATTTCCTCTTAGGCAAGCTTTTTGGTAGTTTTCCATCGCTAAATTTTGATGAAAGTTTCATCCACCGAAAGCGCTATGTGAGAGCACAAGTTTAGGTAAATGCTATTGGCAGCCTTGATTGAAAGAGTACGTCCTATTTTTTGAGTAAGCGCTTGAAATGGCTTGCTGTTTCGAACCGTGATGTACGAACTGGTGATCACCTTTTGATTGTCTATCCCAGCAGTCCTCATGGGCACAATCCTTTAGGTCGAAAAACTGCTTTGAACTACTGCAAAGAAAACGCGCTCGATCTGCAATCGTTAAGAACCTATGGGGCCAGTTAGTTTAGCCTCTCGTTATTTTTGCCTCGGTTTTTGCCTCTTCGGGGATTGAGGGCGTTGCTGAGCAAGTATTATTAATTAAGAACAACGTCGAACGAGAACGTAACTGCATTAAGTTTGAAGTTCAATTCCATACTTTACAAAATTAATAGTTGATCGCATACACAAGGCAATCCGGAGGTTTCGGCGCAGGATCGAATCCCACTTTAGTGGGTTTCTTGATGAAACACAAACATGCGCTGAAAATTACGTGGTTCGATTTCCCAACAAATCTTTTTTTTTTGTTTTGCTTAACTTTTTGAATTAAGGCTTTAAACGGCCTTGGCCGAGCTTGATTAACAGGTTTTGGCTGTCGAAATCATGTCTTGCTAAAAATATGAACCTGATCACACACTCAAAGGTAACCGTACCATAACCAAAAATTATCTGACTGTTGTTGTAATTTTGTTTTTCCGAAAATTAATTTGAACAGATATCAAGTGTGTCAGCACAAAAATGGTTTCTTACAAGATAAAGCGCTGTTTGGCCTTCATCTGATGATTCGTGTATTTCCGACTACCGTAGAAAATTGCGGAATGTTGGTGCTCTGGTGTTTTTTCTCCAGACCAACTTCGACTTTTTTGACAGAATTTTTGAAACGTTTGAACTTTTTTTCCAATTTTTTTAATCAATTTTTGACAAAAAGCTGTTTAAATGGTTTTAATTGGTAGTCGGCATTTTCTAGACTTCGCCCTAATACGAGCATATCAAGTGTGTCAGCACAAAAATGGTTTCTTACAAGATAAAGCGCTGTTTCGCCTTCATCTGATGATTCGCATTCTTCCTGCTTCAGTTGACTACTGAAGCTGCATAGTTTGCCAAATTTTACAACAGAAATGATTTGTGTTTATAATAAGAGGCCACGTTTGAATGATCCAGTGAAATTGTTGCTATCCTTGATAGTTTTAAGAACAAAACAAAGATAGCCGGTTACTGTGCATGCAAGTAGCACAGAGTTTTGCGACCATAACCTTACCAAAAACAACTAAGTTTTTTCAAGTTATTGCCTTTTTTTTGGCGTGGTGTGATAAAAAGAGCTGAACAAAAAACTAATGATTAGGTATATTCGACAGAGATACTGAAACAAGCCAATTGAAACAACCACTCAAACCAGTCCGATGATTGCTTGTGGTACCTGATTTTGCGTGGAAAACAAAAAAAAACTAAAACATATCCGATAACAAAATTCCTCCCCATATTCAATGGTCGGAACAATTAGAGATTTTAATTAACAACTTATCAGTGTTATAGAAAGCAAATAATTATAATAACACAAAATGAATAAAAACAACGACCAATTAGAGCAAGAGACTCAACTTTTTGCGCAAGTTCCGCAAAACTATTGCTCAAAAAATAATCAGAAATAAAAAAATTGTTGGTTATGTATTCGAACTTTCTCTGTGACAAGGATGGATATTGCGAGCCAATCAAAAATGGAAACAGGATTTAGGCAAGATCAAAATGGAAACATGAATAAAACGTCCGCAAATGGTATATCCGAAGCATAGTTATGTTGAATAAAATTTCAGCATAAATTATGAAACTAAAGACGCAATCAGCAACTGTTTCAATGTCAAAAAAGGCAAAATTTTTCAAACAGATATTTAATGAAGCAGCATATCAAACAGAGGAATTTTTTCAAAAATTGCAAAATCAAATGTTTTTGGCACAACAAAAACAAAATTGAATGAGCACATTCTTTAGTTTCTATTGAAAATCAAAACACTTTACAGAATATTGGAAATGTAAGTTGTAAAAATATAAAAATTTGGGAAAATGCAAGTTCTTTGCAATTCCACATTTCTTCCTTGACAATCTGGCCCGAAAAATCCAAAAAGTAGTGGGAATATTGTTTAAATATCGTTTCGAACTCCAAATCAAGACTTAAAAGGCTAAAACATTACATCATAAATGATGCTTTCAGAGCTTTGCTAGGGCAACTAAATGCATGAAAAACCCATACCAGACTTTTGTTTTCCCCAGGGGCTCATTTATGGGGGTGCGGGAGTCGGATGCCCTTTTCTCTGGAATTCGACCTGCTGCCGACCCGAAGGGCCCCCATTTTGTTCTATTTTCTGAAATCCGTGTTTGGCGGACTGACCCTAAAGTTTTTGTAAGGGCGCCTTTGGCGCCAATGTATGCTAGTTTTGAGGGAGAACGAGCGCCGAAAAAACGCACTTTTTTTTCCAAAAAGTGCCTAGAAAAAGTCAAAATTTTCCAATTAGTGCCTAAAAACGCCTTCTTTAGAATGTTTTTTCATAATTTTTCCTGCGGCGCACAAAAATTTCTCAAATAATGTGGCTTGGGAGAGCTCAGAAAATCAACAAAGTTTCCAAATTTTTTTTGAAAATCTGTCCCAATCGAGAAAATCATAGATCCGCCCCTGGTTTTCCTTATCTTTGGAGTGAGATTAGAGCGAAAGATATTTAAGAAAAAAATAAAATATTAAATTGTCACCTGATATTTTGCCGAAATTTTCTTCAATTTCTCTGTCGGCTGTGCTGTCGCCCGGTACTAAGGTAGTGAAGTTATTGTGACAACTGTCAGTAGGTATATTTGGCCCGGATGAGAATCGGCTATTGAGAGAGGAAGTCCTTCGCATGAAACTGTGCGTCGCTTGATGTGAGTTGTTGCTTCCCTGGTCATCTAAAGAAGAGAAAATCTTCTTTGTTGAAGTTTTTTCATTATAATTCTCTAATTAAAAATAATTTAATAACCATGCAAGAAATTTAAAAACAAAGATTAGCCCGTTGATGTGCAAGTAGCATGGAATGGATGACCAAGCTCATACTTGCTAAGAGCCAAAAAATATCTTCAATTTTTCTTAAAAGGATAAAACTAATCTCGTTCTGTATGCGAAGAGGCAGGTTGAAAACCAAAATCTATTAAACCAAAACCAAAAAAAAAAGATTTTTTTTGTCCCGTCTGTTGTTGAAGCAAAGCGACAGGTTGACATGAAAAGTGACATGTATTGCCGAATCTTAAAAAAACTCACGTCAATTTTTCTCGACACCGAAAAAAAAATTCTCGACACCGAAAAAAAACCACAGGCGCGATTTTGGGATGGGGATGCTGCCTCCACCATCATGAATTCGACACCCTTATTCGGCCCTTATTTTTTGTTTTTGGTGCCATTGTATATCTGCGCTCTGAAACGAAACTGAAAAGTTTGTTGACTTCTTGCTCTCTTTTTGATACTGTGAAAACAAACTATTTATTAACAAGCTGATCAAATATCTTGCGAATTTATCAAAATTAAGTTAATTTAAAAAACGATGTGAAAAGGTTGAACACTTTTTATCCTAAAATTGACTTCTGAAACGGTGTGAAAAAGGTTGTACATTTTTTAACCTAAAACTGACTTCCGAATTTGGCATGATATTTCAGCCCTTTCACTCAAATATTTCATCATTACAAGCAATTTTCACTTGGGCTAAACTTAGATCAAATGAGCAGTATTATAAGAAATTCAAATGAGCAAGCTCATTGAACTTTCATGAAATCAGTACAAGTTCTTTGAAAAAATAGGGCACTAGGTGAAAAAAAAATAGACAATCCTTAACAGGTAAATTCATTTCTAATTTCGACCACAAACATCAAAAAACTAATTATATTGAGATGGGTTTTAAAAATCTTTAGTAGATTACTATTTTTTAGTAGATTACTAAACTAGAGTGGCTATTTGTCAAATTAGTCGTATTTTTTAACTGTTTGAAATGGCTTTGAGAAAGACCACGACAATGGCCATCCCATGGGTAGGGTATGTCAAAACGACCATTTTTGGAGTCTTTTAATCATTGTAAACGATATGTTTCAAATAGCAACTAGGATAATTTTCTTAAAAGTAATAAGGATAGCTGGTTGATGTGTGAGTTGCGCATAAACTCCCATATTGAAATGAATTTATCTTAAATTTACCAATATGCACAAATTATGCTCAAAAAACTCAATGCTGATTGAACTTGCTTTGTTCTCAGAAGTTTGCATTGATTGCTACCATTTTTCTTGGAAATGGCAACTAAGCGTTGATAACAAAGAACTATGAATAGTTTCACTTTTTGAATAATTATATTTAAAAAAAACAATAGACTGATTTTTAAATTGTCCAGTAGTTATTTAAAATAAGACTTGATATGCCTCTTTTGTTACTTTTTGACAGCAATTTCTTTGTTGTTTGCTTTTTAAAAAGTTTTTGTTAAGCGATTAATTAAACTGGTATCAAAAGGTAGTACTTTTTTGGGCAGTCAATTGGGTTCATTCTACACCTTTTACCTAATTGCAAAGGAAACTATAAGCAATTATTGATTATTTTCGCCCTGAGATGCCTGGAGTAATGTGTTCAAACAGCACAGCCTTGAACTTTTTATAATTTGTATAAACACTTTTTAATGATTTGTGATTATTGGCATTAAAAAGTCGCTAAATACTCGAAGTATTTCAAAAAAAGCTATTGAACTCAAATGAGAAAAATGTTAGAAACAGGACGGCCGGTTTCTGTTGAAGTAGCACAAAATATTCTAAACATTCATAAATGAAATGAAAATAAAGTAATCTTTCTTTTCAAAAATGTTGTTTTTTTGTGCTCTTTGTGATGAAAAAAACTAATCGGTCTCGTACACAGTTAAGAAATGAAGCATAATCTACAACAGTTATTTATTTTTTGCAAAATTTTCTTTTTAATTATATTCCCAAGTATGCGCTAAAATAAGCCTTCAAACTTAGTTTTCCTGAAGTATCACAAAAAATTTTACTACTTAAAGAAAATTAGATTCTTTCATAAGACCTAATTGCTCGCTTTATTCGCTCGAAATTAGATTGAAACTCAAAAATTTCATACATGTTTTTCTCGACACGGAAAAATCTTTGAAATTTTCTTAAAACTGTTCAAATTGCGACTAAAAAGGTTTTACAGTTATATAATTGTACAGCTCAAAAAAACAAAGTTAACCGGTTGCTGTCCGACCATTGTTTCAAAAAAATAACTGAATTTTTTTTTCAAATTAGCGTCGTTTTTTGAGCGTAGTCAGATTAAAAGATTTATTAGAAAAAACCTAGAGTTTAGGCATATTTGACTTTTATAGTAAAATAGGCATATTATAGACAAGTTCCACTCAAAAAATGACTAAAGAGAGCTAAAAATCATTAAAAAAATTCGGAAAAAATTTGTTCCTAAAATGGCGCTAATAACTTTGAAAGCTAACTTTACCGGGGTACAGCTAAAATTTTAATTGTTATATTTCTATAATAACCCTGCTCGCTTGCTTTATTTGCTCAAAAAATGAATTGAATTTTTTTTCTCCGTTTTTGTGGGCGTGCGATTCACGACTGAGAAGGATTTGAAAGGATATATCACTTGGCCCAATCCGATGGATATTGTTTTTGAGTGGACAAAAAACACTCCACAAATCCAAATAAGAAGTTCGTCTTCATTTTCATTCTCGGAACAATGACGTAAAAGCACATAGAAATCAGAATTTCATATCTATGTGTCAGTCCAAATAAGGACCTAATTACCTTTAAAATAATACCGCACATAAAGCCCTGAGCGTGTTGTTTGAGAGAATGAATTTGCGTGTACAAAAACTAAACCAGTCAGTAGTTCCAGGGGCGGATCTAGAACTTTCTCGAGCAAAGGGGCGCCCTTAGAACAATTTTTGGGTACGTCACCAAAAATGGATATTTCAAAATAGTGCAAAGGGGGCAGGGGGTCTAATCCCTGAAAGAAAGGCGTCCGACCCCCCCCCCCCCTAAATCCGCCCCTGATTAGTTCCTTCTAACTCTTTCTAAAATTGAAGGCAAACCTTTGTTAAAGAGCCCACCTCATTTCTTCAATATTTTTCTGGTGGTTGAAAAAAGTTCAGACAGAGACAGAACTGTTTTTTTGAAAAAGTCCAAATTGGTTTGAAATGGCCACACCAAGCATATATATTCCGTAATTTTCTTCAAAAGTTTGAACAATAAATTTTTTTTTCAACTTTGCTTCATCATAACTGTTTTGATTTTTGGGAGATTGGCTGACGGGTAAGGTAGAAATTTTGAGCGTCTCGATGCAAGTTTTGCTTTAAAAGAGATACGTTTTTTTTTCTCCAGGTATTTGCAAAAAATTTGGACGACACTGAAAGAACTTATGAAACGTACTGGTTGAACCGCTGAGCGCCGCTTCCAGTTTTTCCCATTGAGCTCCTAGACAGCCGGCTGAATTGTGGTTGTTGTTATTTTTATTATTGTTGGTGGTGTTGCTGTTGTTGTTGTTGCTTCCCCGGGCGGATTCTCGAAAGATACTGGCTTTGCGGGGAGACATGTTGAAGCAAATCAGCAGCCGTCTGCGCACTCTAAAATATCCTTGTATGTTTATTTAAAAGTCTAGAATTTTTTTTCTTAAAAACTCTGTAAAATTCTTGAACTAAGTTGGTTTAATTCAATTAATTTGAAGTTACAATTCTTAAAATAGGTTCTTCTGCTTACCCGACCACATTTTTTCGGCTCTTTTTCAGTTTCTGACGCACCTTGTATTAAGCTGTCATTTTTATTTACGTATTTATTTATTCATCATGAGTAAACAAACTATCAATGACAAATATTCCGATTTGCTGTTTAACCTATGAGAAGACAGCCAGAAAACCAAAAAGAAAGGCAGCCCCGTAAATTAGTACAAATCAATGGCAAATTATGGAAAAACTTTTCGATTTTTTTAGGTCGACCAAATTGATTTTGTGAGCTCTCCCAAATCACTATTAAGACCCTAATTAGACCAAATGGTCTGCGTCGCAGGCACACTTTTGAAAAAAGGCCAAAGAGCCAAAGGCACTTTTTGGAAAAATTTTTAGAACCATGACGGCCGGTTTCTGTGTTATATATATATGTATATTAAGGCGCGGATCTAAGAACTTTTCAAGGGAGGGGATTTTGAAAAAGTTTTGAAAATTTTGTCGGCTTTTTTTTGACCAATTTGGTTTTCTGAGCTCTCCCAAACCATTAAAAAGCCCCTAATTTGACCAAATTTTCTGCGCCGCTGTAAAACTTTTGCCATGACCAAATTTTCTGCTCCGCAGTCAAACTTTTGCCAAAAAAGCCCTTTTAGGTACTTTTTGGAAAACTTCGACCAAAAAGCCGCGTTTTTTCGGCGCGCGCTCCCCCCTCAAAATTAATATAGATTGGCGCCAAAGGCGCTTTTAGAAAAATTTTAAGCTCATTCAGCCGAAAATGGATATCTCAAAACAGTACAAAGGGTGGACCATAACTTTACGAAAAATGATCACATGTGAAATATCTTTTCAAATCCTTTTCAGGACAAAAATACCTTTTGAATGATATGAAATTCAAAATTCCGTCAAAAATGGCTAGTTGAAAAATTCCGTCAAAAATGGCTAGTTAAAAAGTCGAAATTTGTCTGAAGAAAAAAAACCCACATCGAGCACAAATATTCGGTTACTTTCGTATCAAAAGTCGGAACAAAAATTTAAATAGATAAAAGCTAGTTAACAATCGAAATTTTGAGTTTTATTGAAGATAAAAGCGCAACAAGCACAACTGTTTTGTCGATTTCTTCCAACTGAATTGATGACATGATCGTATTGTACTGAAATGTATTATGGCAAATCGTTTAATTATGTTGAACTCGATGTTTTTCATACTCTATTCTTATTACTCTCGCAACCTAGAGAGCATACTCTATAGAGTTCAAAGTCTATATCAAGAGTTGAACTTGAAACAGGAAAATCAGAATTATAATAAAAAAGTTGCGCAATATTGGAGGGACGAGCAAAATAGCTATACAAAGCATTCGAAAGTTTTTTTCACTGAAGTAACAAAATCAAATGCTTGATTTACTTTACAATTTTCAAAAAAAGGGCTGTACCTAAATGTTTTGGTAAATTTTATTGATTTTTTCAGTTTGAGAAGTAAGAAGAATGAAAAATCATTAACGAAATGATTGTGCGAAACCCAGAATGAATGCATGTGCAAATTTTTTTTGGTAGTTTTGAAGCAAATAATTTTAATTTTTCGGGCTGTCGTTAAATTTGGCTACAGGTAGCGTTTGGTTTTTCGTTGCTGCGCATAATGGAAAACTGGAAAATTTACCCGAATAAGTTGCCCTAAAAATTGTTACTATTGCCAATTCGGCAATTTTCCTTCCTCATTATTTTCAAAATTCAGTCGCAGATGAAACATCTTCTTATAAATTTTTAACTTAAAACATCAAAATTTTAAAAAAGAATAAAAAATTTTGCAAAAACTAATATGCAGTTGGTCAATCTTTGTTTGGAAGTATTCCAAAAAAAATTTCGAACGTCGGAACAATAACACCTTTCAATGCCTTTATGATTTTTTGCGCTGTTACAATTGATGATTTGCTCAGCAATCCAAAATTGGTCTAAAAATTTCCGTAAATATTAGATAAAAAATTAATATTTTTTGTTAATAGAACTTCGTACATTACCAAAAGAATTGTTTTACTTCAGTTTATTTTTGCTTCAGGCAGCTCAGAAATTGGGTTCAAATTTTTTTAGGTTCATTCAAATTATTTAAACTTTCGGAATATTCTCTGTCAAAAAAATTTTAAGCTTACTACATTTCTGAATATATTCTGAGAAATGCAAAAATTTGAAACAGATTAAAAAGAGCAATTAACATTTCAGACAAATAATGAAATTAAAGGCTAGTTTTTTAGACAATTTTCAGGCATTGTTTTATGCTGGGTTCTTTCCTTGTCAAACTCGGTGTTAGCACAGATGGTTATGTCTGTTTCAAATAAGCTGGGAAAATATATTATCGTCTGTAAATTAATTGAATTAAATCATCAGATTAAAAATTGAATGAATAGTTCAATACAAAAATTTTGAAAGCAAAAGCAATTTTTTCTGACAGGCAGATAGTTTGTCTCAAAGTCAACTAATTTACTTGCAAAAAAACTATCAATAATGGCAAGTTGCTTTTTTCATTTAATTCTGTCTGTTCTCATTATTTTTACTGCATATGATATAGAATAAAGCTTAGTATTATAACAAGTTGCAGAAATTTGGAACAAATAGAAATAACTTTTAAAATCAATCTGTCAAACCTTAATTTTTGGCATGCAAAATTGAATTTTAGGTGACCTTGAGACAAACTATCTGTCTGTCTGAAAAATTCTCATTCCCGTAATAAACTATTGATTCGATTTCTATTCTAATCATTTAATTTACCGACGCTAGGTTTTTTCCAGCTCCATACTCATTTGAAATTGACATGATTACATGTGCTAACACTGCATTTGACAAAATATAACCCAAAACAAACAGCCAATATGAGCATACCTTACCTGAGTCAGTCAGGATTACAGTACTGGCTTAAATTATATGAACGAAACGCATGAAAACTGAAATATAAAATTTGTTTTCTCAAACTTGGCTTGTTGTAAGTGAAAACTAACCTGTTTAGAGTTTTAGCAGATTTAATATAGTGTAAGTTGTTTTGCAAAACTCGAGCGCAAAATGTTACCCCAAGAAGCCATTTTTTAGCTTTTTTGATCAATCAAAAACTATGAAAAACGAATTGGTTCAATTTCTGACCAAATTACTTCTAGTGAGCCTCTTTTATAGCTCAACAAATTACAAGAAGGGTGTAATCTCGAAAACAATGTATAAATAAATCTATTTTTTTTATAGCCAAAACTGTCCATTTTACTATATAAAAAATCAGTTTTTTATTTAGTATTTTTAAAAACGTTTTGCGCCAATTTTTGGATATTACACTCTTCTTAAACTTTCGGTTAACCAAAAAAGTTAGAAATGACCCCTTTTTGGAGTACTAATTTGTGCACGAATTTTGCAAAGCAATTTATCAATTATGTTAAAACTTTAAGCGAGTTTTGAATCCGTCATTTTTCACCTATAACTAACCCAATTTGAGAAAAACACATTCAAAATTTCTACTATTTCAAGTTTTATGCGTTTAATCCAAATAATTTACATCAGCACTGTATATTATTTGGATTATTTGGATATTTGGGCACTTAGCATAGTGGTAAGGCGTTCACTTTAGAATCGTCAGATCGTGTAATCGATCCCATGCCATGGCAATGATAGTGTGTGAGGACGAGCTCTCACTTGACCTCTAGCTTCAGGTCTACCACAACCTGACCAAATTTGGCTGCAAAAGTGGTACCACGTGAAAGTTCTAGACGCACAAAAACGGCCTTGAGTCGCAAAAAAGAGCTTCGCTCAACAAAATAACACAGTCTGGAATGTGGGGAAATAATACAAAAGGACTATCCTCGACAGGACTGTTAAGGCCGACTGATAGCTCCTCTGCGATTCGCAGGATCTACAAGTATATCTGAGTCAAGCATGAATATAACTGGTTTGGTGCTATAGGTCTAGTATGATCCTGTAATACCATGTAGACCAAATCTTTTCCAAGTATAGTCATGCCTATTCCAGATATCGTTCAGGTCTGACAATCTTTGCCTCAAGATCTGACCAGTTCGATGTAAAATAAGACTGGTACAAGTCTGTTTCGGGCATGCACTGGCAAAAAAGATACATGCCGGAGTACTTATACACAGCAGAAAAATGCTGTTTTTCGATGATCAGAATATTTTTTGGTTCCAAATTTTGGAACGGGTTGACTGAAAAAACGCATTCAATCTTTTTATTTAATTTTGTCTGCACCAATTTTTGGCAATTTTCTATACCTGAGAAATATGTGTTCGAGTCCACAGAGTCCGTGTTTGTAGCGACTCTTGTCGTATCTGGCCACTGCTGTGCTCAGTTTGTCCTCCGCCAGTCGGAGGTCGTCATGAAGACATCCCAAATGTGACTCGATGCTGCAACACATTTTCCACAATTATTACAAAAAAACTCCTTTGAACATTAAGGAAACAAACATAAGTTGGGTCGAGACAGTCGAAACATATCAATTTTCTGTCGAATTGATCGAAAGATAAATCGCAAACTATCAAACCGGTTTTTCGACCGATGAGTTTTTTTCTAATTCTCAGAATAGAAAACCACCGTAAGCCTTTCTACTCCACCCAAACTTGAATCTCAATTTTCAAAATATATTAACAGCAGTGAGTAGACAAGTTGCATATGTGCATGGGGATCTAGGATTTTCTCGAGGAGCGGAGGGGGGTGAATTTTCAAAAAACATTGAACGTTTGTTCAACTTTTATTATGATAAATGAAGAAATTTTTTTATGTTACAGATATTGTTGCAGCGCAAATATAAAACAATAGTACAAATGCATATAAACGTAAATGTGCGAAAGTATAAATGCATATAAATGTAAATGCATACAGGGACAGTAGCCAAGCGTATACATGGTGCGTCCCGGCGGGTTCGGCGCCGGTTCGAATCCCGACTAGGTCATTTCCTTTCTAGAACTCGAATGTGCACCGAACCTGATGGGATGCCCCGTAACCAGGTTCGGTCCCCCCAAAACCGATTTTAACCGTCTCTTCGCTCTAATTTGGTTCAGCCTTGATTAAGGCTGACCTTTAAAAAGAGCAATTTGTCTCAAGGACAAATACTGGCCATTTTTGCAGCTTGCTTTGATTTATGCAGTTGTTTGTGGCCGATGTTACCGATGATAGAGTTTGTTAAAATTATCGTTATATTTTCAAATTTCCGTTATATTTCCGGAGTTATTTTGCCGAGAAAATACTCATTAATTAAAGTGTTTAAAAACCGTTTTTTTATAATCTTGGAGATTGACGCGCACATTTTGGCGCCCCACAAGGGACCACTGTTTTTGGCGGACCCGAGTGTATCCTTCCGTCAGTTGGCCGAAAGTCGTCAGAGTACCAGTTGGCCGAAAGTCGTCAGAGTACCAGTTGGCCGAAAGTCGTCAGAGTACCAGTTGGCCGAAAGTCGTCAGAGTACCAGTTGGCCGAAAGTCGTCAGAGTACCAGTTGGCCGAAAGTCGTCAGAGTACCAGTTGGCCGAAAGTCGTCAGAGTACCAGTTGGCCGAAAGTCGTCGGAGTACCAGTTGGCCGAGTGGCCTAAGCTGACGCCGATTATATAGGCTGTTAAATCGAGATTCAATCAGTCCCAGCGAGGAGCTGAAAAAAGCAGAAAAACGAACGCGACATATTTCTTATTTATCAAGAACTGACAAAGGAAATTCAGAGAGGCCTACCGAGAAATTCAGGTGTCGATTGAGTTGTCAAGCGCAAGCCAGCTACAGACGTTTTGTGGAAGTGATAGAAGCAATCATGGAACAATTTGTCTGCGTCTGGCCGATGGTTTGATAATCCGAAAACCGGTGACCGCCCAATCTCCAAAAAATCGTCAAAAAACTGTAAGACTATTCTAATTTTTACAAACTTGCAATAAAATTGTGTACGATGTGTTAATGTCTTATTGTATCCCAACTCAAAGCAAGCTACAAGTGGTAACTTTTTCTCGATACCAAAAATTTTTGGATATTTGTGAACAGAATTTTATTCCGTGAAATCGGATCATAGACAAAGGGTACTAGACTAGTTTTTGGGTTGGTTTACGACTCGAACCTGCTGACCAAAATTTTCCAAAAAATTTTGGGAAAAAAGTAAAAATTTCCAAAAAATCGTCAAAACGTCCCCATAATTCTGCGAAACTGTGCTGTAACATGACACCAACCTTATGGTAAGTGGTCTGGTAGCGAAATATCAGGCAAATTAAGTTGAGTTTTTTCATCCTCAGGTTTTTTCCGCGTGTGTTGTTGGAACTTAACCGATTTGCCTGATTCTCCAACCCCATTGGTAAACTTAAGGTTTACAACGACTTGATACCTGTTTGCATCCGTTCGCTTTTCAAAACATTCGTTTCGCAACGACTGACTAAGTGGTCCGGGACGGTAAAATTAAGCAAGTTAAGTTGTTGTCTTTCATCCTCAGGTTTGCTCCGCGTGTGTTGTTGGTTTTCAACCGACTTGCTTAATTCCCAAACCTCTTGGTAATTCGTCGAGCTACTAGCCGATTAGTAGTGACGCACCGTCGTACGACCGTTCAACAAATTTCGTACACTGTAACATCATCCTAAGTGGTCAGGGAGGTGATATTAAGTAAGTTAAGTTGGTTTTATTCATCCTCAGGTTACTCCGTGTGTGTTGTTTGATATCAACCGACTTACTTAATCCCCAGCCCCATTGGTAACTTTACTCACCGAAAACCGTTCCGAATCGCCCCGCAAACGCCCGATAACCGTTAAGTATAGTTTGAGTTAAGTATAGACCCTAGAGCCATGGATGAGAACTTTCAGAAGAGGGTTCAAAGGTTATTTGCGAAGCGAACCAAACTTGAAAATGAACTGTACAAGTGCCATGAAATTATAATTGAGAACATTGAAAGTCAGAGTCGCTCATCAAAGATTGACACTCAGATTCAGAATTGCAAGAGCCTGATAGAGACTGCAGTTGAAATAAATGAGGAATTGATTAAGTTAGCTTCTAAAAGTGTTGATCCTGATAAATTGATACCAGCGCAGGATATGTGGCTTCATACGGTTACATCAAGAAACGATACAGTTTTACAGAAGGCTGCATCATATAAAACTGGCTTAAACGTTGAACCTGAGGAAACAGAGCTTGACAATGTTTCAGAATCGTTAAGTACGATCGTAACAACACAACCACAAGATTCACATGAAGCAGATGCGCGCTCTAAGGTGTCGCGGTACAGTAGTCGACATCATAAATCAGGTTCGCATAAATCCAGTCGCTATACCGTCGCGCAGTCAAAAACATCAACTGAGAAGAGGCGAGATTTGGTGGTTTTGAAGAAGCAGCAGGAGGAACTTGAGAGACAAGCAAAGGTGTCATTGAAGTTGAAAGCGCAGCAAAATAAAATAAAAGAACAGCAAGGTAATTTAGAGTTGGAAGAACTAGCTGAGGTACACCGCAAGAAACTGGCTGAAATTGAGTTAAAGGAATTCGAGTTGGAAGAAGAGCTTTCTGCAGCAAGTGAGAAGATAGGAAATGCTAGCGTAGCACATGTTGACCCACAACGTACTGAACAATGGGTAGAAAACGTTGTCACTGAGCAAGAGCAGGCCGAAGTTGTTGCAAGCTCAGAGCAAAGTCATCCAGTAGTCGAGAGTTCCACTTTGATTGCTACTGATGTTTTGCAAGGGGTTGGTGCCGTCGTCAGCGGGGGTGCCGTCGTCAACGCTGGTCAAACCACATACAGTGAACCGGGAGGCCACAATAGGAATCGAATTCAGGCTCAGAGATCAAGTTTGGTCCAATCGCGTCTGTCATTGCACTCAATCGAGAACCCATCTAGTTTACCACAGTTCGTTGCCTCCAGCTCAAACTTTGTTACTCCACACTTAGCGTCAACACCTCATGCTGAAGTTTCGCAAAATCACAATCTGATACCACAAGCAGGTGGTAGCATTCCCGCTTCAATGCCCTTTAGTAATCCCACCATTAATGTGGCACCGCCTTCTGTGTCGACCGTTACTAATCCAGTTTCGCTTCCGGCGAGTCAACCTTTTGTTTCTCCATTAACCGTTCCGATTCCCATTTCGCTTCCGATTATTCAACCATTTGTCCCGTCAACCGTTCCTATTCCCTCTTTGCTTCCGGTCAGTCAGCCACATTCCGGCCCCGTTTCAACTGGGTATCAGGCGCCTGCAGCGCCATCCCATCAACCTATAAATGTTCCAAACAACCCAACAAGTTTCTCAAGTGAACACTATAACCCGTATAGCAGTTTGTGGAGACCTGCCGCGACTGCGCAAACGATGCCAGTTCCTCAATACTGTGCACCGCCCTCAAACGTTTTCTCAGTGACAACTCCTGTTGTTCCACCAAACACCGTAGTTCCTTATACAAGTTTTGGGACTGTGTTTTACACCCAGCCGCAAACTCATCCAGTTGTTGAAACAGCGCATCAAGGTTATCCACCTACATATCCTGCGCCCACTACGGGCCCGTCTTACGTGCCTAATAGCGACGAACAACCCATCTCGGCGAGAGAGTTAGCAGACATCATTCTGCATAGCCGCAAAGACCGTCTACCGGAGTTGAAATTGGAAGTGTTTGATGGAGAACCACTTAACTGGTATGAATGGTTCGGGCAGTTCCAAGCAACAGTTGATTCGGCTATGCTAACTGATGATGAAAAACTCAAATATCTGAAAACACACGTTAAAGACAAAGCCAAGAGTGCAATTGCGGAATACGGCTACAGTGGAGTGTTGTATAAGGATGCTCTAGCAACTCTCCAGAGAAAGTTTGGGCAACCTCATGTTGTAGTTGGTGCACATTTGGATAAGTTGAAGAATTTTCCCGCATTGAAGATGCACAACTCTGACCATGTTATAAGTTTTTCTGCGGTGATTTCTGGGCTCGTAGCTGTTTTTAGGTCTTTGTCGTTCAATGACGACTTGAAGAGTGTGAACCTATTAAATCAAGCCGTCAGTAAGCTTCCTCCAAATCTAAAAGAGGCATGGTCCATGCATACTGTTAGACAACATTGGCAGCGATTAACATTGCTAGACTTCAACGATTGGCTTAAGAATAAGGCAGAAGGCCATGAGCGATTGAAATCTTTAGTCAAAGTCGAGCAGCCAGTTAAGCAAAAAGTAGTTACAAAAGTGCTTGCAGGTAACACTAAGGTAAGTTCTAAGGATGAGAAAAGTAGAGAAAAGACAAGGTTTCCTACATGCTCGCTATGCAAAGGGCAGCATGCACTCTGGAACTGTTCCGTGTTCAAAGAGAAAAACGCAACACAAAGGGCTAAATATGTAGCAGAACAAAAGCTCTGTTTTTCTTGTTTACAAGGCAACCATACCTTCCGAAAGTGCCAAAAGGCAAGAAAATGCCCAAAACAGGACTG